CACTTTTATATAAGTACCACGTACACACGTATTACTACACTTTTATATAAGTACCACGTACACGTATTACTAGACTTTTATATAAGTACCACGTACATGTATTACTACACTTTTATATAAGTACCACGTACACGTATTACTACACTTTTATATAAGTACCACGTACACACGTACTACTGCACTTTTATATAAGTGCCACGTACACACGTACTACTGCACTTTTATTTAAGTACCACGTACACACGTATTACTACACTTTTATAGAAGTACCTGAAACACACGTATTACTACACTTTTATATAAGTACCACGTACACACGTACTACTGCACTTTTATATAAGTGCCACTTATACATGTATTACTACACTTATATATAAGTACCACGTACACACGTACTACTGCACTTTTATATAAGTGCCACGTACACGTATTACTACACTTTTATAGAAGTACCTGAAACACACGTATTACTACACTTTTATATAAGTACCTGAAACACACGTATTACTACACTTTTATATAAGTACCTGAAACACACGTATTACTACACTGTTATATAAGTACCTGAAACACACGTATTAGTACACTTTTATATAAGTACCTGAAAAACACGTATTAGTACACTGTCATATAAGTACCTGAAACACACATATTACTACACTTTAAATAAGTACCTGAAACACACGTATTACTACACTGTTATATAAGTACCTGAAACACACGTATTACTACACTTTTATATAAGTACCTGAAACACACGTATTACTACACTGTTATATAAGTACCTGAAACACACGTATTACTACACTGTTATAGAAGTACCTGAAACACACGTATTAGTACACATACTGCATTGTGTGGCTTTACAAACCTTGTTGTGGGTCCTCCAGCAGTCTGAGAACATCATTGGCCCTGCCATCTACAGTAAAACACAAGTTCTGCAGCAACTTTGGAAGTTGAACCACAAAATGAGGATCTCCGTCAACTATAACAGACAAAGCTGTAGATAAATACAAAAAACCAGACTGATTGTTCCAAAAATAATGAGTGTGTGTAAATATAAAGATGACCTGATGATGAGAAGATCTTCACAGTGCTCAGGCTCGATGGAGGATCTAAAAACACAAAGAATTCAAGTAAACAACCAATATTCTGACTCCATCACTGAAACCAACAACACAACTGGACACGTTAAAATTCACATACTGCAAATCCTCACCAGATGACTGACTGTCTTCTCCATCGTCCCCTGAAACAAGGGACACATGTTTACATGAAACTCTTCAGTGACTGAATGATTTGTGCTAAATGCAGAAACTTACAGGTATCATAGCTGAAATCGTAGTCGTAATCATATGTTGCATCATAATCTGAGAACAAAAGGAACGAGTTAAAGATGCTCTCTGGTGCTCGTCTGAAAACCTCATTATGTTTACAGGTGACAGCAGAAAACAACAAGTTAACTTTAGCTTCATAAAGACACAAAATAAAGATTTTCATTCACCTGCTAAAAAGATATTTGTATCCTAAATCATTTTCCACAGAATTCAGTATTTATTAAGTGGATTAAGACCTAAGTTGAGTTTCACTCCTCGTATCATTATTATTATTAGACTTAATTTTTTAAATTACTAATTGTATCAAATTTTTGACAATTAACGGAGACATATCACACTTTTAAATGCATTTAAATTCTTCAGTTGCAGTGTACAGATAGTGGAACTGCAATGCTTTGCTCTGAATTCCTCCTTATTGTAACTCCACAAGCCCCGCCCCTTTTCTGAGGTGTGTCTCAGATCAACTCATTTTAAGACTGTCCTGCTGTCTTTGTGGGGTCCACATGACCCCACTCATGTTTGCTGTGGTGGGGGGGTCCTCCTGACCCCCACCTGGTTAAGCGGTGGTTGCGGGGGCAAAGTGGGGTTGGGGTGGGGTCGTTAGGTGGTAATTGTGGGTGGCTCCCCAAGACACAGCTATGACTTTAACTTGTTAGCTTTGTTAGCGCGCTGCAAGGACCGCCGGAGATCCAAACGAGGTGCTTTACACCCCGCCCCTGTCCATTCACAGAAACCTTTTATTTATAAAAAAATTAAAATATGTCAACAAGACAAGTCCATCCAGCCTGACATGTAGAATAAAGACACCCAAACTGTAGTCATAAGTCCAGACCTGATTTAGAAGTTCTGTCATAAATAATTTGACATAATTTTTCACAAAGTGTCAGAGAAAACAGAGAAAACTGAACGGGCTGAAACATCGGGCCAAACAGAACATAAACATACTGTGTGTCTGCAGCACCAGGACAGACTAAATTTAACCTCTCTGCCTCCTGGACACCACGAGTCCAACAAAATCTATTTCACAGATCAAAAGTTGAATTTCACAACATATATAAGGCAATAATAAGGCTATAATAAGGCAATAATAAGGCAATAATAAGGCAATAATGAAGCAATAATAAGGCAATAATGAGGCTATAATAAGGCAATAATAAGGCAATAATAAGGCAATAATAAGGCAATAATAAGGCTATAATAAGGCTATAATGAAGCAATAATAAGGCAATAATAAGGCTATAATAAGGCAATAATAAGGCAATAATAAGGCAATAATAAGGCTATAATAAGGCTATAATAAGGCTATAATGAAGCAATAATAAGGCAATAATAAGGCTATAATAAGGCAATAATAAGGCAATAATAAGGCAATAATAAGGCTATAATAAGGCTATGATAAGGCAATAATAAGGCAATAATAAGGCAATA